CTGTATTGTAAATAGGCAATCATTATCAATGTTCCAACACATTATTATTGATATTGTTTATCTTATTTCTTTATATATTGTTTTAACATTTAGGAACTTTTGTGTGAAATCTTTTTATCTGTTGCTGCTGTTATACTTGAATTTCCCATCCATGGGACAATAAAGGCTGTTTCTATTCTATTCTATTCTATTCTTATCCAGAGATATCTCCATCACAGATGGTCATCGATTCATCGGACAGCAACACTGACTTTGAAGCTAGTTTAACGTTTCAAGTTTAGACAAAATGAAGGCAACACCTTATTACCTTTTTTTTTATTTTTTTATTTACCCTTTAATAAAGGTAGTACAGGTAGTTTCATTGAGCCACGAGAACTCATTTTCAAGAGAGACCTGTTTAGAGAGCAGATGGGGGTAAAGGGCCTTGCTCATGGGCCCAGAGTGGGGCAAATGAGGGAGTGGGCAGGTGTTGGTGCTTCACCTACCCCACCCACATTTTTTGATGCTGTCGGTACCGGGGCTTGAACTGGCGATCTTCCGATCACAGGCCCGCCTTCTCTAACCTCTGCGCCACCACTCCCCCTATTTAACCAGGCAAATCCCACTGAGGTCACAGATCTATTTTGCAAGGGAGGCCTGGACCTGAAGGCAGCCTAACATGCATGTTTTTAGTCTGTGAGAGGAAACCGGAGTACCCGGAGAAAACCCACGCATGCACAAGTAGAACATGCTAACTCCACACAGAAAGACCCCAGGTCCAACTGGGCATTGAACCCAGGACCTTCCTGCTGTGAGGCAACAGTGCTAACCACTGAGCTATTGTGCTGCCTTATGAATATCAGTGTGACCTTGTTCACTATCAGAGAACCTTCTTCATATAAAGGTTCCTCAGAGCAACATGGAGGTTATCTTCAGACTTCACCTTGAAGAGGCCAGAGGAGGTGTCAGCAGCAGCGTGAGAGTTTGGATAATTATGCAGCAGTTTCTTAAATGCATTTAATTGGTCCCCAGATTGTGGTTGTATGAAGACTCATTGAACTCTGAAAGCTAGGCTCTTAATGATTTTTTGCAGTTTTCCATTCTCTTTTGGCCCCTCAGCCAAGGATTTAAATGGAACTCACCAGACTGAGATGAAAAATTGAGAAAATTGTGAATTTTTGGTCTATGTTAGACGTCACTAACTATGTTTGAGTTAAAGACGCAAAGCTTACAGAAAAAGTGCTGTGATTTGGCCTGATTTGTTTATCCCTATCTCTTTCTATGTTTTGTTTTACCTGTGCACAAGACTCCTAGACACTTGAATTCTTCATCTTAATGCACAAACTCACCGTAATCCCAAAGGTAACGCTTCACCTTTAGTTAAAAATGTTAGCCTCAGTCTTCAAGAAGCTGGCACATCCCAACCACATCGTCATTCAACCATAAATCGCCCCAGTAAATGATGGAGGAGGTCATGGTTTAAAAGTTGCAACAAAAACACATTATTTTCAAAAAAAAAAAGCCATGAAACCTTGAAGATGTCAATGCAGACACCGTTCTCTCCATAAATTCACCTTGATGTTCTGTCCATGAACACCACAAACAGAAGGACAAGGAGCAGCTGTGGTGGGGTCCCACCTCTTTCAGGACCATGTTTATGCTGAGAATAAGGATATGTCTTTGTTAAGTTTAGGAAGGGAGGGGTGAGGAGACAGACAAAGCATCTCTGTTTTTTTCAAAATATGCCAGGAGGAGTTGAGATAAGTCTGCCATCAAGGCGACTGTGGCTAAGTGGTTAGAGCAGTCGTCCCCCAATGCGAGAGTTGGGGGTTCGAATCCACCAGCCGTCACATGCTGAAGTGTCCCTGGGCAAGACACACTGAACTCCTCATAGCCTTTGATGTTTGTCTCATCAGTGTATGAATGTGATAATGCTCTGATTAGTCTCTTTAGAATGATTTGTTCAATTAGCTTTGTAGAGATCTAGTAGAGTGCTGGATGAATGGGTAAATGAGGGCAAAGAATGTAGTGTAAAGCACATTGAGTATCTTGAAATAAGATAGAAAAAAGGCGCTATTTGAGTACAGTCCATTCACAGTTTGGGTCAGGCAGAACTTGTGAATTGCTGTTTCTGCCTTTTAAAGTCTTGCTGGTATATATTCCTCTAATGGAAACTCCAAACAACTGAACTGATTCCTTAAAAGTCAAGCTCACAGCTTCTCCAAGACTATTCCTGCCTGCTGCTAGAGAGTCCACAGTCCTGATAACAGCTGCTCCAGCACTCTGATGCAACTGCACATAATTTACACACACACACACACACACACACACATATATATATATATATAT